TTGATAGGGTTAAAACCTGTGTTATCAATGGTTTTATGTCTATCTTCAAAATCTCTTGAACTGTCTTTGGCTTTTTCAATAAAGAGGACAAATATTAAATCTCATATTGTTCCACCGCAAGATCAATCACAGATAAAATCAATTCTAGTAATCAAATCTTATTGGGAAGATCATCAAACAATCCAATCTTTCACTGAAATCAATGACTAGCGTGATGAATGAGTGTAATATCATTGAGTTTTGCAGAACATTCTACATAAAGAAACTGATTGAAATCATCAAAGGAAAAATTCTCATCTTCTTTCTTCTTCGTACCTTTGTACAGCTCTTCCAGTGTGCAAGGCAATTTACTCTCAATAGCCGGCGCTTTCCTATTCGCCGGCGGTGTCTTTCTGTTCGCCTGACTTCCTGCTTCTGCACTTTTAAACCTCCTCCCGCCACCGCCATCTCCACGTGTCCTTCCGCTGCTTCCTTTACATGGTGATGTTTAAGTGATCATTTCAAAACTGTTCGCAGACACAGAAAACTCCAGAACTTATAAAGGATTCAGTTGGGAGAACGGCCTACCGGAATATGGTGTAATAGTAAAATGCACACCATAGAGATCTTTTAGAGCTCGAGATGGAGATCATCTTGATACATTCAGCCAGAAGGGTGGGGAAGGTCATGGCCCTAACATGCATGAAACAGTTATGCTTGCAAGAGACCAATACCTTTTAGTTTTTTTCTCCTACTTAGAAATAAAGTTGACGTTCAAGAATGGTCTTATGTGTATACATATTAAGGAATCCCTTTGAAACTCATAGAAGGTAAGGAAAAATGATAGATGATTGGCAGCAATCGCTGAAAATAGTGAAACAGAGATAGGAAACCACTAGACCTTAGGATCTTTCAGACTTCTGGAGTCAATACTTGCATTAGAATCACTGGAATCTTTGTTAATTTTTCCATTTGCATTTGGAAAGGCTGCCCCCATCATGAGAATTAAGAAGTACGCAATAGCAGTGATCTTTTTCTGTTAGAACCTGCATGTTGGATAATTCCATAACTTGAGAAGTGTTGGAGTCTCACCATATACTTTGATTTCTTCAAAGAAAAAGAAAGATGAAACACAAATTGAATCAGAGAAGAAGTGCAAGATGATTTGTGATGTTACAATTCCAATAAGCATTTGCAATGGAGAAGACCACGAAATAGAAGGTTTGGTGACAAGTTAATAAACATGTGCAAGTCACATGAGAGAAGATGGAAGTATCGAGCATTTAGGAAATTAACAAATTTGTAGTTTTCCTTTCATTAATTTGGTTAACAGGTTTTAGGAAAATTGAACTCAACAATTATGTTAAATCTTTTCTTATAAGTATGTACGCTCATAGAGCAATTACAATCTATCCCATCAATAAACAGTGTTTTTAATTCCAGTCTCAAACTTTTTCTTTTGATAGTCTAAAGCTTTTACGTTTCTTTTTCGTTTTCATC